CCCGAAAAATCTTGGGACTTGGATTACAACGATGTATTGTTGTTTCAATGAGTAATATGCTGTCTGACAAGTATTTCTTGTCCATATTTGAAGTGTCCCAATATACACCAAGCACTTCAATCATGATGGATTCCTCCAAATCAACAAAATTTATGAGAGCAGATGATGTGACAATTGGATTAACTACTTGTTTTAGTCATATTAGGAGCTCTTCATAGATATGCTGTTTGGTCTTACTTTTGCTTTGATGACTTAGCGTTTTAGGAGGAGCTTGAGTCTGAACTCTAGATGGTTAATGGTTCTACTTGTTTTTTTAGGTCATTTTATGAGGTCTATAAATTGTGTTTATTTGTATAAAAACGTCATTAGTCCATGCAGATGAATAGTTTTTGAACAAGAAAATATGTTCAGGAGCTTTGAGCTCTCTTTGTTTCTCCCACTTTCTCCCTTTTCTATCCATGTATCTTTGTTGCCTTCTCTTCTCTTATATTTGAGAGTTGAGACATGGAAGTTAGTTCATGCACTCCACTTTTTTCCTTTCCTCTTTCTCTTCTCCCCCTTTTCGTCTTCTCTTGTGGATGAGAAGCTTGGAAGAAAGATTGCTCCCTCTCGTATATAATTCTTCAATATTTTTCATCCTCTCACTCCTTTTCACTTTGTACTTACAAGGGAAATTATCATATTAAATCAGCCACGTGCATGAGACAGGTTTTCTTCAATATTTTTCATCCTCTCTCCCCCTTTTCTTCTTCTCGTGGATGAGAAGCTTGGAAGAAAGATTGCTCCCTCTCGTATATAATTCTTCAATATTTTTCATCCTCTTACTCCTTTTCACTTTGTACTTACAAGGGAAATTATCATATTAAATCAGCCATGTGCATGAGACAGGTTTTGAACTTCGTTTTAATTTATTGCAGCTGTCTTTGATGTTGATGGTTTTTAACCTTTTTCTTGTCAATCTGTTCTTCCACTTTCCAGGCACAATCAAAATCATATCTGCAAAGTTATCAAAATCTGGTTGTCCTCTGGTTGTGCTATCCACTCGCCATGCCTTCCTTTTTGATATGAGCCTCTTGTGTTGGCTGAGGGTTGCAGATGATTGCTTCCCTGCTTCCAATTTTGCAAGCTCATGGAATTTGGGTTCGATTCAGAGTGGTGAGCTGGCTACCTTACAGGTGGATGTTAAGAAGTTCGTGGCCAGAAAGCCAGGTTGGAGCAGGTTTGTATGCATTATTACAAATTCTGATATTTTGAAGAAGCATAAAATTTACTTGTATTGTTCAATTGTTCATAAAGTATACCCTTTCAGTTATAAGTGCAATGTAATGTGCAACATATTTAAGAGCTAAAAGGAAATAAGGAGACAGCCTATCAATGGATCAAACAAGAAATTTCATAAGTTTATTGTTTTTGTTGGTATTATTATTTGTATTATCAATATTTCTTTTTTCTAGCAAGTTGTCCGGGTGTTTCAGACTTTCAGAGCACCTGGCTGACATCAGGGCACATGCAATTCTCATCCCACAAGAACCTTAGTACTGGGACAGGTCCCTGTGGGTGGCCTCATAATATCTGTCAACTAATTGGATGACAAGGAATCCTTTCCTGAACACATTAAAACAAATAGCCCAACACCACGTGCTTTAGCTTAAGAATTGGCATTTCTTGTTGTCTCCTTCTGTATACACCCTCAAAGACATGGAGGAGCTGCATTCCCACTGGATTTCCATCATGCCTAGAACTGTTCATGGCATAGCCCTATGAATTCTGAACAGGGACAAAAGAATGGACCATACTTCCCTGGAAACCAAGAATTGGACTTGCATAGGCTGTTACATGGACTCGGAGATGAGCATCGGGTTTGGATGAGTGTCCAAGCATCAAACCTTCATAATCCTAAATCTTAAGATATCGAGATATGTATCCAAATGTTGAGTATGGATATGAGGACATGTCTTGAACACTTACATATATTGCATATTGTATGTTAAAATATTTACCATCACCTACCACACACTTACCATCACCTACCACACACTCACCTACTACACTCACCTACTCCTCACCTACCACCACCATCTCCACTTCACATCTCCTATATATAGGAATCAATGTAAACACTACAATTATCAATACAACAATCATCAATCAATAAATACATAAATTCTTACATTGTATAATATTCTTAGATAAGAGGATGTAAATTATTTAGAAATGTACTTGAAATTAAATAGGATATGGAATTTCTATTTCCCATTCATGTTAGAAGCAAGAAATATTTTTTTGCTAGCAAATGTGTGCTTTTTCTTTTTCAAACATTATATAAAATTAGAGGATTCAAGTATCTGAATTGGTTACGAGCGTTGGACCAATATATTTAACACCTTTACCCTTTGTCATATCTGATGGACACAAGTGTCTTGGGAGAAATAAAAGAGTGAATGTAACACTGCCTACGGGTAATTAATTAAGGGCAAAATCTACTTTACGCCCTTGTGGAATGACCCAATAGCATTTTACTCTCTTGCCTTTTAGAAATACCCACTTAGCCCCCATGTGGTTTGGACTAGTTGAAAAATGAGCTCAACACCCCTCAACTATCTTCTCTTTTTCTATTTTATTTAGACCCTATTTTTTAATATAATCTTATATTAACCAATTAAATTACATATTAATCTAATTCATAACTTTTTAACATAATTTTTAATTTGTTTACATCTTTAATTATATATTATATATATATAACGAAACGAAACCAAACCAAGCCTTAAGTCCCATCAAATGAGGTCGGCATATTATATATATATGCAACATATAAAAATGTGTACATCTATATATGCTACTACACATACACAAGTGAGGCAGGAGCTAATGGGATTGAATTGAATCATATGAGTTTCATTTCCTATAGTTACCTTTTCTAGTTTCCCGATAGCACTAGTGATGTTACTAGATTTGTATTGGCATATGCATCATGTGTAACCAAATTTGGTAGCTAATTTCTTATTTTGAAAAGCAATATTAAAAGAAACTCTACAAATTTTTAGTATCTTCCCATTTGCCTACTACTTCTTTAAAATAAAAATAAAAAAGAAATCACAAGCAAAACCTCTGCTTTATGATACCTGTCCACGACATTGTTGCAAAAAGTTACTGATATTAACCTTAATGCAATTAAATTATTCTGTAACCACTGAATAGTAAAGGAATAATTGGGTTGGAATCAATCTTAATCTTGAAATATCAGGAGATAATTGTAAATTAGGTGTTTTTCACTGTTGGATTACATGTAAGTGGTGGGCGGTGTCGGGGAATAAAGGGTGGTGCCAGTAAAGTGGTGGGGGAGGTGGCTAGAATGGGTGGGGTAGGGGTTGTGGGAGAGATAGGTGGGTTAGGGTTATGGTTTGAAGGTAGAAGATGAAGAAAAATGGTAAATATGTCTTTACCTGTTGACATTTGACTTTAACTAAGGAAATATTATATCCCAGTCTTTAAAGAGGCGTGTGTAGCACACTCTCCATATATTTGGATATAAAATGCAATGGTAGCATTTCAGTCCAAAATCACATGAGGGGTAAGTAGCTATTTTTAAATGAGGGTATAGTGCTATCAAGTCATATGACAAGAGGTTAAAGTAGATTTTGTCCATTAAATAACCGCCTCACCACCCTCTTGTTCTTCTCTTTTGTAGTTGGATTTTTGATGGCCAGTCTTTCACAACAATTGGCAATGTTAAAATTTTTTTATTTGGAGGGGACTGTGACCCACCCAATGCTCTTCCATGGGAATTTACGATCAATTTTTCATCTAAATATCTACATCATCTAGACTTTCCACTTAACGACATCATACCTGACCTTGGGTTTTGGAGAACCATGCATACCTTGGAAATGGGGTGTTGTATGGTTTCATTGTTCTTCATCTATGAAGTACGGACACTCCAAAACAGGTTCCATAGAGGTGTCGGATATGTCAGGGCTACGAGAGATGTGTACGAGGACATGCCAGTTGGGGTGTATCCTTTTATTTAATTAATTTATTTGTCGGGGACACACTGAGGATACGCTGGGTACATGTTGGGGACATGTCAACTAGCTTTTCCCCCCTTCTTCTTTAGTGCTTTTAATGGATCTTGAATGTTGAATGTGTATTATTTTTTATGGATGATCTTTTAATTATTTAAATCTATTGTTTTTTTTTTTAAAGAAAAATATTGGGGTTGTTTGGGGTGTCCTAAATAAGTGCACTTTTTGTCTTTTTGGACTAAAAAATTGAGGAAAAAAAGATGGATGTTTGAGTTAACTTTTTGTCTTTTTACGAAAAAATGTGTAATAAAAAATTGTATAAATAAGTGTATAGGAGAAGTAAGTGTAATAGGCTGTACAACACCCTTTTCTAGGCAGAGTGTAGGAGATAAGGACATGATTGCCTCTTTCGTGGGCAACCATTTGGACTGTGCTGTTCTGCCCATGGGGCCTACCACGAGTCCCATTTTGATAATTTGAACCGTTCAATATGTAGAACTCGTCGAATATTATATGACTGTAAAAAATCACATTGATTGGATATCGAAATCACATTGATCGGATTATTTTTTGTTCACCTGTTAACTATAACACCATAATTTTTTTTTATACAAAACTGATTTGATCATATAGTTAGTGATATCCGATCAGTGTATTTTTTATAAGCATATATTATTCAACGAGTTTTACATATTAAACGGTTCAGATTATCAAAATGTGACCCGTGGTGGCCCTCACGGGCCGAACAACACAGTCTAAATGGTTGCCCGCGAAGGAGGCAATCATTTCTAGACAAGTACAACAGACCAATCACGCGGACAGCCCATCACTTCAGCAAAAAATTGAGTTGTATTTTTTTATATGTAAATTTATTTTTTTTGTATTTTTTTTTTTGTAAGTAGTGATAATTTTTTAGCTTTTTAAGTAACTTTTTGACTTTTTGTCTTTTTCAAGACATGCTAAACTAGGCCTAGTGTTAGTTTTTGTTAATTTTGATTGTTTGTAGACGTAATATTAATTTGCATAGCAAATAAAAATATATTTTTTTATTGCCGTGTCCCTTTTGTGTCCGTGTCTTCATTTTTTTGAAGTCGCCATGTCCCGTGTCCATGATTTTTAGCTCTTCATCATTCTCTCCACCATGTATGCTAATTGGATTTTATTATAAAAATTCAATAAATTCGGTCTCACGATCACCCTTGTATAAATTTCTCACGGAATTATTCTGACTAAAATTTTCTTTCGTTCTGTGTAACATGCAAGGCTTTTACCAAACATGATATTATCTTCAATTTATTCACAACTAGGAGTAACTGTGCCTAAAGGCACTACCTACTATAATCTAGCCGAATCTAAACCAATCATCAAAATTTCAAATTTTGAAATAGAAAGGCACTAAATCTTAACCATATGATCTCACAGACAACCATTGGATCTTCTCCTTAGGACTGATCTGAGCCGACAAATGTCCACAGAGGACAAATGTCTTAACACATTTTCAAAACCAGCCCCGTTTTGTTAGATAGATGGTTACTTATTTCATGAATTTCTTATTTTTTGGGGTGAAATATAATTTTCCACGCTCCACAATTTTCTTCTGCTGCATTTCGGATTCTAAACTTGTTGAAATCTCTTGCCCTATTAATTGGCTATATAAATAACCCTTGTTAGTATCAGTTACCTGTACTAGCAAATTTTGTATTTTATATATATACATATTTATCTTGCTGCAAGAGTTGGGCTAATATGGTTGTTTCTGGCACAGGGTAACTGATGATGGAATGCAGACACGTGCTCATTTGGAAACTCAGCTGGCATCCGCACTGGCATTGAAGTCACCTAATGAATATCGCCAATGCCTATTGTCCTACATACGGTTTCTGGCGAGGTTGGTTGGGTTTTGTTTTGTTTTGTTTTTTATTTTATTGCATTCATGAGTGAATTCATTATTTACTCTGGCTAAAATTCTGATATTCTACTTCTTACAAAACTAAAGGTATTTAGGTGTGCTGTTGAATTCATTTTCTGCAAAATTAAGTTAATTTTATGGTCAGTGGCTACTCAGTCTTTATTCTCAATATTGACTGGTATTTCTAATTTTATTTGTGCTTTGAAAACATTAACTGCTTTTAGTTGAATGTATATGATGGTTAATATGTATTTAAAGCTTATGCAAGTAAGCTAAATGGGAGGTAGCTGTAGATTAGATGGTTAATTAATTTGAGAAGGCACAAATTGAAAGACTATAGTTGCATTTAATTTCTATTTCATGTAACAAATCCCAGTCTTTCATAATTTTTGGTTGACTGTAAGTTTGTATTTATACATTTTGAGAGATGGGTATCAAAGTTTTCACATGTAACACTACTATGTTTTCCTTTTATGAACTTGTGTATATCTTGAATAGGAAGATGCATAGGTACAAGTACAAACTTCAAGAAATCTTCTAAAAAAAGCTGTACTTTGACACTTAAAAACCATGTCCATCACATCTTGTACTTCAGTGATTGGTTGGATACTAATTAATCAATTTCTTTAAAAACTAAATAAGTTAATGAATTTCTTTTTTAGTTGTGATGCATATGGATGTGCTTTCAGGGCTGTCTTTCATGTTAGATAGACAGTGACTTTTTGGTATGTATGATGAGAAGTAATTTGTTCTATTATTTGATTGCAGAGAAGCAGATGAGTCCCGTTTACGAGAAGTTTGTGAGAGCTTTCTTGGACCTCCTACTGGGATGGCTGAAGCTGTATCTTCAGATCCTAAGAACCCAGCATGGGATCCTTGTGTGCTGGTGAGGCTACTCTTAGCTCTTCTTTAGATTGCACTAAAATGAGATCTTCAAAAACTTAATTGCAATTCAATGGGATACTCTTTCAAATTACAACAAAGACGGAATCTTCAAAACTAATTTCAAGGACAAGGAAATTTTATTTAAAAATACAATAATACCCTTCGCCTCTTCCCCTTCCCCTCTCTTTGCAACTCCGGCAGCCACCACCGGCTGTCAGCCACCCCTTCTCACCACCGTCAGTCCCTCTTCTACCCTTCTCCGCCTCCGCCACACAACCACAGTCAATGCCACCATCCACGGCCACCACCACCCTCTCTGCCTTACTTTTGCCCCGACCACCACTGTTCTCAGATAGCACCGCCACTTCTGTCCATTCCTTACCTACCCTCCTTTTCAATTGTTCCCACACCACCGTACTCCACAACGTCCACCACCACATAAACCCTAACCCCACCCAAATCCTAGCCCACAACCACCACCACCACCGAAACCCTAACGCAACCTTTATGGAAGGGTGTGGAATCAGGGAGGGATTTAAGAGGGGGAAAGAATGATTAGGGTTTGTAGGGAGGGATTGAAGATAGAGTGGGAACAAAAAGAGGAAAGGATAAGTGGTGTTGGTGGAGGAATGTGGGGGAGGCAGTGGCTGTGTAGGGGAGGTGGAGGGGCTGGCAGTGTCGCTGTTGGTGGGTTAGGGTTGAAAGGGAACAGAGAATCAAAATATTTTAGTAATTTTATAAAATTTTCCATCTTTTTATAATTTTTCTTAATCTTCCATATATGTTGTCTTTTTTTAATTCTCCCACTCAATTGCAGTGCAATTTTCTCTTTTCTTTCTTTCTTTTTATTTTTATTTTTATGGGGCTTAATTACACCATTATTAGCAAATATCATTTTACCCCCATCATTTATGAATCCGTACATGTTACACCCCCAACTAAAAAATATACAAATACTACTCTTTTGAAGGTGGTCTTGGGGGGAGGTTGATATTTGCTAATAGTTGAGGGGGTCTAGGTGTAATTAACCCTTTTTTTGGGGTCAGATAGTGGAACTCTGAGCATATATTTTAAGAATTTTCATTAAACTTTCTTGTCAAGATTTAGAAAATTCAAATGCTCATCAACGATTTCTATTTCTCAGCGTTTATGCAATGTTGTGGACTACTTCCATCAACGATTTTATGATGGACCCTTGACATTTCTCCTTGTCTTCGGAGTGGTCATTTTTATCTTGTTATTGTGACTAGATTCATTAAGATCCTAACTGATGTGAATTCACTCTTGTTCTTAAAACTAAAAATGAAAAACAGAAGGGAGATACGAGAAAAGAGGGTTGTAGTTCCAAGTTTTATTCATCTGCCGATTCAAACCAGTTTTACTTTTGCAAGGCTGATTATAGGCTTTGTAAAATGTTAAAAACAACTAAAGACCCTCTGAGAGAATTTGTACCCCCCTATTTCAAACTAGGCTCGATCTTTCTTCCTGAAACCCTATAAACTCTTACAGCAATAGTAAAATGACTACAACTGAAATACTGAAGACTTCCAAAAATTTGAATAAATGACCAATATTAAATAATTACTCCTAGTATTATTAAAGAGAGTTTTGTTAATGTGTGGCTTTAGAGCACCTGTTAAAATGCTTTGTCTGTTTGTACGTTATGCATGAAAGTGAGTGAAATAAAGGATGTACAATGGTTTTAAGCTTCCTTATCATGTGCCCTTAGGGCGCATGTTAATAAGACCCTACTAAAAATACAAAACATGGAAAGAGCACGTGATCCAATGGGTACTTGACTTTATGATTTCATCTTAAGTTGCACAACTAATGGTTGATTGATTATATTAGTCATACTGGATATTTTGAAAGTTCATTCGTTTTTCTACATAATTAGATTTGAGTATTAGGTATATTTTACACCTACATGCGTATCTAGGGAAGGAATTATCGAGGGAAAGGTCTAGGGCTCCAATGATGGTGTTTTTCTAAGCAACATGGACACAAACATGAGATATAGTGATTTTAAAAAATCAGGATATAGACACGTGGGGTATGTTACAATTTTTTTTCCTTATATATTTTATTTTCTAACCTTATATAACATGAAAAACCACTCAGTTTATTATTCATTATAGAAAATACTATTTTATAATTTTATCAATCATAAACTATTTCATCAACGTCAGAAATTGTGGGTATGCTAGTAGCACAAGTAGAAAATTTTCCTATAATCACTACAAGTTTTTTTTTATAAAAAAATAGCAATTTCAACGATCAAACACTAATTGAGAAATTAAAGGAGAAAATGCTACTTATTTGTATTATTAAAGAGAATACTACTTATTCACAAGTCATGTACTGATAACATATTTACACAGTGGTGATTATAAATTTATGGCTCTTTTTACAGTTCATGGCAAGATAACTGTGTCTTGGGCTGTGTTTAGAAGCAGGACTCGTGTCTCTTGTTACCTAAGTGCTAGGATGGAGAAAAAACAATTAAAAAATGGGACACACCACTTGACTTGTCTCATATGTATCTCGGCATGTTCGGGAGTGTCGGTGTTGGACACTGGTCAGAAACGACTACAGAAACAAGTTGAAGTGTCTGTGCTTCATGTGTTATTCACTGTACTTTTGTCTGTTTTTTGTTTAACATAGTGGATTGGGGGGAATCGGATGTCCTAGGACAATTTCCAAGAGCTCTCTCTCTGTTACATTCCGGTTTGTGTTTCTTCCCTTTTGGTTTCTGCTTTTTAGTATCTTACGTGGTCATGGCGACACTTGTCTTTGCTTCCGCAGGGAATGAAGAAGCACAAACTCCTAAGGGAAGATATTCTTCCGGCAATGGCGTCAAACAGAAAAGTTCAGCGTTTACTTAATGAATTTATGGATCTCCTATCTGAATATGAAATAACTGAAATCTATCCAGACCCAAAAAATCCTGACCCTCCAACAACTTTGTTACAAGCAACAGATCGAATGCACTATGCCCCTCCAACAACTGCTCAAACGGCTTCTGACCGTCCATCAGAAGATCAAACGTGTCCTACCCTGCTAGCTACTGATGAAATGGAGTATGCCCCAACAGCGACAGATCAAACGGATTCTGTTGTGCCATTAACAGATGAAGTGCAATCCACCACACCCACAGTAGATTTAAATTTGGACCCACCTGCTTCGGATCAATTAAATTCAGCAATGGCTTCATGATTTTGTTGATGAAATGTATATTTTTACTTTGTACTCCGTTGTGCCGTGTCGGCTTTGTTTCATGAAGGTTTTTCACCCCAAATATTTTGGGTGAAACACTTTCGTGTCGTTGCTCATTGAAGTAGTTATGGGGTGGTGTGTAACAGTAGTTTTCATTTTCAAAACAGAAAAATTTTGATTGCTCTTTGAGCAAGTGATAGGCTTCTGTAATCAAGCTTCTGGATGTTTGTTCACTGTACAATGGATTTTGTAAATCGGATGAGTCTTCTTTGTGGGGCTCCATATTTGATGTATGCTCTTTAGGTTATTTTTCTCTTTAACAATTATTATTATTCTTATTATTTTTTCTCTCATTGTATTTTGTCTATATGATGAAATTTACTAAGCTAACTATTTGTTGAAACGTGATGTACGTCACTCATTCAACAATCTATCTATTGAATGTAACACTTTTTTCCCTCACCAACATTGGTTGTTGTTGGCCACTAGTCACTGCCGCCATAGACTTGTTCGACCAATTATTTGGTGATTTTCTTTGGTGACCTTTTTCTTCGCGTCTCTCTCTCTTTTTTTTTTTTTTTTTTTTTTGGTTACAGGAAAATCTTCACAGATTCAAGGCAGCGCCTTTTACAGAGATCATCAGGGTGTTCTGTTAACCGTTCAAAGCGAAGAGACTATAACCTGAGAACTTGCCCTGACTTCCCAAGACAAGTTCCGCTTAAGTCAAGACTCGCACAGCGGAGGAGCATTGAACCCACACTAAGTGCTGATTAGACAACTTGAGGTCCAACTTCCTAACCAACTGTGTTTCGCTCAGGAGATTGGTCCAAAGGAGAGGGAATTGAACTTGTGACCTTGGGGCTTAAACTCCAAGCCTTAACCACAACGCCATCCACCATTGGGTTATTATCTATCACTATTTTATTTCGTTGCATCTGCTTGGAAAATTAGTGAAATATGGTATTTTTGTTTTTGAAAAATTGTCAGTCTTCGGCGGATTAGTGATGATAATTAATTGGAGAGGCATAAGAGCAGTTATGCTAGGGACCCCAGCACCCCCCACTGACATTTCATTGGCAAGTTTTTTTTTTTTTCAATCACCCACCCCTACCTCCACGTAGGGTGGGGGAAGTACAGGGGGTCTGGGGGCATTAAGAGACTGTTTTCTGATTTTTTTAAACCAAAAGTTGAACAATAGTATTGATTTAGTTTTATTTTGAATAAAGAAGTTGGATCTTACTATCATATTTTGTTCTATCATGACTTTCTAGTTCATGATGACAATTTTCTGTACTGTAGCAGAAAAGGAATAGAAGACTGGATTTCTGTCTAGGCATAGAAAAACGGATTTCTAATTTTTGCAAAAATATTTTTTTTTAAAAGTAATATATAATGTAGATTCAATTGGTATATGACAAAATTCACACTCAGAATAAACTTCAACCACTCAATAATTTTTCTAAATATTTATGTCTACAAATTGTATTGATAGCATTGCTTGTTTTCATATTGGTTCAAAATTTTAACATCAATTATTAATTTACGGAAATTAGTTTACTCTTTTGACATGATTACATTGTCTTTCCATTGAAGGTTTAATTAACATAACAGTCAAGTTTTTATCTTATCAAAAAGTTTGTTAGTCATATAAATAAAAAAATAAATATTATCATATCTTTTTAACTAAAATATATATTTGTCTTTGTTTATTTTAGTATTTACCTGTTTACATTAGTTGCAGTTGCATTAACATTACTAAAAAAGAGTTCAATATAATTATGTCAAACATAAAAAATTAGTTATACTTTTATCAAATCTTAAAAAAAAGTGAGTGTAATTTTTCCTAAATTTATATTGTGCTTCCAATTTTAAATACTGTTTAATGTGCCTTTTTGCTTTTTGTAAGCTTTGAGTCTCACCATGTAGTTTTGTCAAGATCAAATTTGATTGAACTTGAGAGAATTTTTTTTTTTTTAAAATAAATCATCTAAACATGATAAAATGAAAGGATTATACTTATCAAATTGTGTGTGTGTGTGTATTTTTTTTTTTGTGTGCGTGTATATGATATATAAAAATAATTTTATAAAAATGAACAATTTGAATTATTAAAACAAAACTCATAATATGACATAAAATTTAAATTTAAATGTGGAAGAAATTTAATTATTTATGTATACTGATGTAACAACGGGTTCCAGACAGAACGGGTCGGTTTGATCCACGCTTCCCAAGCTGGTGCTCGAGATGCCAAACCACGGAGAGACCTGCACAAGAGTCCAACGAGGAACGGGAAGTCCCCCAGCGAATCCTCCGACGAACAAGTTAGAAAGAGAGATGGAATGTAGAGATAGATTAGTGATAGAGAAGCTTAACCTTTTCCTTGTCTTCGAAACCCGCTTATATCCTCTACTAATCAGTTCCTTGTCCCTTCTGACCTGTCACGTAGGCCGAAAGTCTATGTTCTAGCTTGCCTTGTTCATGGTAAGGCTGTTTCGTTCCAACGGGGAGGGGTTATCGCAATAAATGCTGCAGGGAACCGCATTAATGGCTGATGTGTAGTGCAATAATTTTACAAGATCTTTGTTTGCTGATGTGGCAGGCTCTTTACTCGCCAAGTGTTTAGATGTCATTGGTGTTTGGTGTGACGTTGGGCTTCAAGAATATTGAGGATCATGGACTGGGCCTTAAGTGGTGGGCCATGTCCTTTATGGATCCACCAATGTCAGTAGTCCCCTATTCCCAAGTGCAGCTTTAGACCAACGAAAGGAATAGTAAAGAAGATAGAGATTGTGAGATGTCGATTGGAGAGGATACCGACCGGGAGGGCCGACCGGAAAGGGTGACCGAGTGGAAGGATCGATTGTGAGGAGGGCTGACCGCAAAGGGTGGCCGAGTGGATGGACCGATCGTGGAGAGGGTCGACTGCAAAGGGCGACCGAGTGGACGGACCGATCGTGGGAAGGGCCGACCGCAAAGGGTGGCCAAGTGGATGGTCTAATCGTGGAGAGGGCTGACCGCAAAGAGTGGCCGAGTGGATGGACCGATCGTGAGGAGGGCCGATCGCAAAGGGTGGTCGAGTGGAGGGACCGATCGTGGGGAGGGCCAACCGCAAAGGGTGGCCGAGTGGACGGACCGATCCTGGGGAGGGCCGACCGCAAAGGGTGGCCGAGTGGATGGACCGATCGTGGAGAGGGCCGATTGGAAAGGGTGGCCGAGTGGATGGACCGATCGTGAGTTGGGCCGACCACAAAGGGTGGCCGAGTGAGAAGGGGAAGTGGCGGTGCGCGGGGCTCGAGGAGCGGCGGGTTACGTGGTGAAGTGAAGTGGAATAGACAGAGAAGGGGAACGAAGTAGTGGATTGTGGCCGTACACGTGGAAAAATCCTTTAATGGGGGAGGTGATACGTTAGTAAGAAGTGAAGGGACATGGTGATATAGGATAGTGAAAAGGTAGGGGCGGGAGTTTTTCGAAATTTTTTCAAACTGGCGGAATTGAATCTTGACCTTTGGAATATAGGCAAGTCGTGGGCTTTTGGGATTGTTCGCTTTACCTACCTCCTTGCGAGAAACCAACACGTCGCAGAAGTAAGCTCATTTGTTTCCAATGATACACCTCTGCAACACTTTATGGACTTTCTTGTGCCCGCGTCCGAAGCAATTTGCAAACACACAGGAGGAATGGCCCAAGAAGAAATGCTAGCCGCAAGGATGGATTCTTTAGGAGACGATGATGCGGTGGAACTGGCGGAACAGTATCGGACGGAGCGAAGGGAGGAGGGGAGAGTCGCACCAAGGGCGCGGGCTCGCCTGACTATGATGATCGCGACCGCTAGGCCGATTAGCCAAGTGGAGCCAGATCACTGGCACACGAAGGCAGATACATCTACATTTACAGCGGAGGAGTTGGAGGAGGTGCGTTGGAAGTATCAGATACTCGCGGAGATAGAGTTAAAATTGCCGTCGTCAAAGGAGAGGCCATCTGACGCCCGACCGGGGGAGTTTACCCTCTGCGAAGAGGCGTTAAAGGGGGGGTTGAGGTTGCGCTCCCCCTGATAGTAGTGGACGTACTAAATCAGTTGGAGGTGGCTCCGGGTCAACTGATGCCCAACGCGTAGAAAATTTTGTTGGCCTGCGCAAGTGCGTGGCCGCGGGCAAACGAGGGAGCTGCAATGATGGTGGATGAGTTTTTTGCATGCTACAAGGCTTCGGGCCAGCAAGAAACTTGGGTCACTTTATAGGCGTCGGCAGGGAAGGGTTTGGTGGCGGGGTTGCCATCGTTAGTGAAGGGGTGGAGGCCACGGTGGTTTTACGTATCAGCCAACGGGGGAGTGGGGGTACGCACAGTGTGGAAGGTGCCAACCAAGTTAGTGGAGCCAAGGTTGGAGGCGTAGGTAGAGGAGAGGGTGAAAAAGGTGAAGGCATGGCGAGAAAAGGAGGGCGCCAAGTGGGACGACCTTGTTCAGCCCTTAGCTTTGTTTGCCTTAGGGCTGGGGCCGCAGCCGACCGATGGGGACCTTGCACCGGCAGAATTGGAGGCGAGGAGGAAAATGCAAGAGGCGGAGGATAGAGTGACCTTCGCCAAGGCTGATCAATACAAAGAGGCGAAGTTAGGCCGTCCACCTAAACTGGTCGTGAGGGAGCGAGTCCGACTGCGCCCCAAGTCGCTGGGGGATAAGGACTTGGGCAGTTTTGAGCCACTACCACCTCCAGCGGAGGAAAAAGGCAGAAAGGAGGTGGAGGTTGTGCTAAAGAAGAAGAAGAAGAGAGTAGAGAAAGAGGAGGAGAGGCCGGCGTTGAAGAGGATGAAGGAGGGAATGGCAGAGGTGACCCCCAAGGTGGGGTTGGAGAGTGCCGTGGGCTCTGGAACACAAGTGGAAAGTGGGGTGGCTAGGTCTGAGCAGGGGGCGGAGCAACCACCCAAGGAGATTCCTGGGCCTCAAGGGGAAGGAGTTGAGGCTAGGTTGAAGATGGCCATCTACCACACGCGAGCAGTATCCGGGCGACTGGTAGGAGAAGGAGGTGAAGCCGGGATTACTGCAGACCGGCTCTTGGGAGCAGTGGAGGACGCGGCCATGCGTTCGATGGCAAGTTTTACAGTGGCCGAACTGTTAAGGGGGCTTTGCTCGGCCCAGATGGAGGCGACGACCTTAGTAGGAGCCTTACTGAGCAAAGCGGCGCGCGCAAAAGGCGAAATAGAGCCATTGAAGACAAAGTTGGAGGAGGTGAAGGCCTAGCTAGAAAGTTTGAGGATGGAGACTGGGGGCTGGAAGAAAGCCGCGCGGAGTGCATGTGCTAGGGGGCTGGAGTATGCCCAGGAAGCC